GCATCTCCAACCGATATGTCAAAAGTGCCACATAGACATTTAACAACTAGAAATAACATCTCACACATTCCAACCGATTTGTCAAAGCTGATGTGGAATGAAGGCTGAAGATTGAGATGTTATTTTTGACATCCCAAAAGCAAGATGTCAAATGAATATTTTATAATTTTTTTCTTTTCTATTCTTTTTAATTAAAAATAAATCAACACTAAAATGTAATAAAATAATAATTTAATTTGACATATCGGGTGGAGTGTAAAGCTGTGTAAGATGTCAAATTGCCACATCAGCCATCAAATTTAAATTTGATGTTTGATATTTGACATCTCCCTTGGAGATGCTCTTAGCCATTGAAAGCTCTTCAATCTAATGGTTTAAAATCCGTGTCATAATGTGTGTGAAAAATGTGTCCCTCAATCCTCTTCTACGAATATTTTTTCAACGATCCAAACAGTCTATTTTTCAAGTCTTCATTCATAGATCATCCTTACAAAAAGATCATACAAATTGAAAATCAACAAGGCAACTAGTTGGGAAAAACAAAATAAATGAACACAGTGCTTCAAGAAAAGGCTATAATAACAACGGGTTATTCGTAGCAACGGTCCCTCAACTATACATGTAGTTATAGTTTGGTCACTCAATTCAATTATTAGTTGCAGAGGTCACTCAATTGAGTGTTGTGTTGCACCATTAGTTCTTCCGTCAAACTCTGTTAAATTTTTTGTCCAAAGTGAGGGTAAGTTTGGAAATTGCGAAGCAACTCTATCAAGCTTTCTTTGTCTTAATAAGCACTGGTAGTAAAAGCATCGCAGATGCAGGTCTCTGATCTAGCAAGAGGTGGGAGGACCATCAAATCAATATTTTCTATCTTAGACCGAGAAAGTGAGATTTCCTCTGAAGAGCTTAAAGGGGTTCACTTTAAAAAGGCTCTCAGGGGTCACATGGAACTAAGAGATGTTGTATTATCTTACCCAGACAGGGCTGACCAGATGATCTTCAAGGGCCTGAGTAGAGGTGTCAAACGGGTCGTGTCGGGCCGGCCCGTCCCATTTAAACTCGTGCTTTTAACATTTTCGTGTCGGGTCAGGCCGGCCCATTTACTTTATCGGGCCGTGCCGTGTCAGCCCATTTAATAAAATCATTGATCCCGGCCCGGCCCAAAGCCCATGTCCATATTCAAACGGGCCGGGCCGGGCTCGTGCCTTGCCCGTGCTCGTGCTCATGCCATACTTGGGCCCAAGAACCAACCCATTTAATTTGAATTTTTTTCACTTGATTTTTTTTTTCCATTAGATAATTCAAATTAAAAATATTAAAAATATAATTAGAGGCAAGAAATTATGAACTATTTGAAAACATTAATCAATCAAACATCCAAACAATATGAAGGGGCGGAGGGCAAAAAGTGTCCAACTCCACAAAGTCCACTTGAACTTTTCATCTTTAAACAACTTATTATTTTATATGTGAAGAAATGTTTTGCTTTGATTATAGGATAAGCGCATATGTCATATGTATTGATTAGATATCAAGTCCAATATTGTTTAATTAATTTGTAGTTGATATGTTTAATTAACTAAGGACCCAAGTAATTTCCCTAAAATGAAAGACATCAAATATATGTTTATGATTTTTTTTTTTTTTAAACATATAAACAATGACATTAGATGTCAAATTATTGCATTTTGACTTTTTGAGAAGAAAAAGAAATGCTAAATGGGCCGTGCTTGGGCTCGTGCCGTGCTTGAAGCGGGCTCAGGCCAAGACCGGCCCATGTCGGGCCATGGGCCGGCCCGGTCCATTGGACCTATTTTTTGATCCCGGCCCGGCCCAAATTTTCGTGCCGTACCGAGCATGGCCCATTAATATTCGTGCTCGTGCCGTGCCGTGCCTCATTTAAACGGGTTGGGCTCGTGCCGTGCTGGGCCGGCCAGTCCCATTTGACACCTCTAGGCATGAGTCTCAAAATACAAGCTGGAGACACAATAGCACTAGTGGGACAGAGTGATTCAGGCAAATCCACTGTCATTGGCTTGATTGAAAGATTCTATGACCCATTAAGTAGATCGGTATCCATAGATGGATGCGACATCAGGAGCTATAATTTGAAGGGCTTAAGGCCTTAGTACGCCAGGAGCCTACGCTTTTTGGAGAAACCATAACAGTGAGATTAGGATTTTAATTTGAGCTTCTAATAATGGAAAATCAAAGCTTTCTTGAGTTTTAATAACAATTTCAAGCTTGAAATTTGAGGATACCTAACCAGCAGGCAACTCCTACAGCCTGTTGCTCCCCTTTCCTGTGAAAATCTCTTACCTCTTATATACACACAAAATTCCCAAACCCATCTCCATATCCCTCACTAATACTAATAGTTGTAATATAGGAAGGAAGAGGCGCGCGCGCGCGCGCGTGTACACACACACACACACACACATTGGGTGGCGAGTTTGGTACAAGGGAGGAGAAGCAATCGAGTTGTCTTTCTCTTTTCATTTTCTGCCTAGATTTTGGTATAAGGGAGGAGAAGCAAGGATTGGGTTGCGACAATGGAGGGTTGTGGATGAAGGGGAGGGTTGTGTATGAATTTCCGAATTTACCCTCACTTTTGACAGAAAATTTAACAGAATTTGATGGAAGGACTAATGGTGCAACACAACACCTACTTGAGTGACCTTTGCAACTAATAATTGAATTGAGTGACCAAACTGTAACTACGGGTATAGTTGAGGGACCATTGCTGTGAATAACCTTAATAACAACCATCTAATTGAGTGGTCAAATAGTTTTGGATTCAAGTGATTTTTTGCAGAGATGATCTTTGAGAGAATGTCTAAAAACTAAAAGATTCGGATCATTGTAATACAATACATGATGGACCTTACAAAGATGTCCCTCAAATAACTTATTTGAGGGATCCCTCAATCAAAACTCTCTAATATACTTATT